TCCCTGCTCCTCCAAGGAAGGAAAGACCTTCCAGATTTCACCTAAATAAGAAAAGTGAGATTCTTTCCTCATTATTTTAATTTTTCCTCATCTGCATTTTGGGTGTGAAGATGCATTTTGGAAGCAGGGAGCTTTGGGGGCACCAGGACCTCGTTCAGGCTTGACCAGGTTAAGGACAACACGCACCAGTGGGCAGAGGGATCTGAGCGTTACTGAGCTGGCATTGCAGGGACCACATCTAGGGCAGATCTTGGCAAATCACTGCCAGATCTAGCAGCTGAATCCATTTTCAGGTGTTCCCATCCTAAATCCAAGCCCTGAACAGCCATTTTCAGCCACTGCTGATGTTTGCCAGTATGTTGCTCTGCATTTCCATTGCAAAACCAAATGGTCTGGGGTCCAGCTGAGAGCTCATCTCCCTTCAGACTGGGAATACCGGGCAACCACAGCATGACTGGGATTTTCTAGAGCAGCATTATTTTCTAAGGAGGAAAGATTAATTAGGCCACAGATTTTTATTTTTTTTTTTTCCACTGTCCCCTATTTAACTTTAGCTTGCTCCCAGATTCCTCTCCCCTGCAAAACAGTAACGCTGGTGTCACATGTAAAGGCTCCAGCTAGCATTGATCTGTCAGGGCCTCTCCAAGGCTGGAAGATTTATAGACCCATTTCTCATCTGATCAGAATAAATGGGTATTTTTTTTTTCCTCCCAAGACATAACAGTTTCCACTGAGGATGCCAGTGTCCCCACAACTGTCCTCTCTTTGTTTGTGCGAGGGCTGTGAGCAGACGTTGCTGTTCAGGCCAGGCATGTGTTTCACCTTCCCACTAATCGGAAACATCCCTGCTCTCCCTCAGAAGCTGGCAGGGGCTCCCTCCCCTCCCAGCTCCGCTTTGAAGTCACAGTTTCTGACTTTCACTATCTTTCCCCTGCTCTCGCTCGTAGCAAAGGAAGAGATCATCCAAGGGACACACGCAAATGCACGCTGAGGAGCCCTCCAGCTCTGCTCCGGAGCACGAGCAGGCAAGGCTGATGAGCCAAAATTTTGCCCCCTGTTTGAGGGAGATGCTCACGAGTCCTCAGCCCTGCCAGCCTGGGCAGCAGGCAGGTCCCATCCCCATGGCACTGAGGGCAGACCGGGTCTCAGCAGACTTATTCATCCTCTTTTAGGCCTTTTCCAACCCAAACGAGTCCATGAGGGCTCCAGGATTCTCTGTAAAAGAGATACTGCAGGTAGGAGGGATTTCCTGGGAATATGATATTTGTCTTTAATATTTGCCTTAATATTTTCAGAAGCCACTTTGGGAAAGAAACTGCCACTTTCTAATAATGTTTGTGAGGTTTTTAGGTATCTTTCTACAGGCATTCCCCCCAGCTCAGCTAGAAGTTAGACTTGACGTGTAACCCCTGTCCTGGCATGCGGGAAGCTTGCCATCAGAGCTGTTTGGCAAAGCTCCACTGTAGTCAATATTTTGTTTTATCATTTGTCATAGGACAGGATGAGCAGTTCCTTGGATGTACGTCTCACCACTGCACGCAAAGCCAGCCTGCTTGCCAAGCCACAGGTAGCCCCCGCCAAGCTGGGTGCCCCCTGCGCAGGGAAATTCGGTATTTTCTGCTGGAGAAGAGCTGAGCAGATGATCGCAGGGAGATGGAAGACATAAATCAGTCGCACACAAGGGTTAAGGCTCAATCTCACTCGCTGGATGGAGAAGGAACCAGTCCTTCAAATTTCAAGGTTCTGGTGAATTTACAACATAAATTATTCATTGCCCTAAACAAAGACATTCCCTTATCTGCCTCATCTCCACTTTCCTGAGCAATAAATATGGCTGCAATTATTTCTGGTGCAGAAGAGCCAATAAAATGAATTATCTCCCATAAACCTTTCCTTCTGCATCCTATTTTAAGGGCAGTAACGAAAACACATTGCCGGAAGCTCGGTTCAGACATACCACGATGAGTTATGGAGACGCTGGAGGACGGCACACACATGCAGCTCCTCCTGGGCTTCTCTCCCGTGCCAGCAGAGACAACTGCAGATCTCTCTGGTTGCCCTGAGCCTGCTCAAGGTGTTCATGGTTGGATTTTGTCTCCTATGGGCAGGACAAGTGCCCATACATTGCTGCTGGAGGGAGGCTTAAAACGGAGACTGCCCCAGCTGCAGGGGCGTGCAAGCACATCACACCCCTCCTGAAGGGTCCTGAGCTAAAGCAGGAGAAAGGGGGACTTGATCTGTGATCTGTGATGCCTAAAGGAACCATATCCTAAAAATGCCTGCTACAGGGGCAAGGAGCTCAGCCCCAGCCCCAGCCCATCCCATCACAGCACAGCCGGATCACAGAGCCACGTTTGCAGCTCAGCTCACACTGGGAACCTGGGCAGGGTGGGGAACTGAGCACAGGTTTTGCACATCTTGGGTTAATGCACTGCGAGCAGAGCACCATCTCCTTGCTGACCACGTTTCCAAACTTGAAGGAAGTCAAAAAAAGCAAATATCTGGGGTCAGTTTCTGCAAATTGCCCGAGTCCCAAAGCACAAACAAGCACGGCTCCATAGAGCTGCACACTGCAGCATCGCTGGGATTTTAAGCGTTTTGCAGCAATTAACAAGCCCTGGATATAGGGCAGCTATAAGGGGATGCACTTTTCATGTTTTGAATGCTTGGAGCCACTTCTCATGGCTCAGAGACTGCAGACCCCCATGAGGGCAGGGGGCACAGCAGGACTCAGCTCCCCTCGCAGGGAAAATCCCCACCTCCGCCCCGCCTCCCGGTTGGGCTCAGGGCTGAGCAGACACCCACTCCCCTGCTCAGCCCCGAAATTAGCTCCCAAATCCCTCCTTCCCCATTCACAGATGCCCTTGGAGCGATCGCAGCCGGCGCAGGCAGGCAGCACCCCGGTCGATGCGGCTAATAGGCGCTCCCGCACCGGGCTCCCTGTCAGCACACGGCAGAGCCTCAGATTAAGCAATAATCCCCACCGCAGCCCACAAAGATGGATAAAGTCATCATTTCCATTTTACAAATAGAGGAGCTGAGGCGGGAGGCTTAGCTGCCTTCCCGGGATGAGCCCCAGTGCCGAGCTCAGAGGAAACAAGCAGGGACACGGGGCAGGGAGCCACAGCATGGTCCAAGATCCAGGGCTCACCAGCACTGCTCCAAGCCCCTTTTCAGTGCTTTGGGATCAACCTGTGCCTTGTTAGCCCTTTGTCTGGCACCTAAGGAGCCTCCTGCCTTCAGCACCACGTAACATCCCCATGCACACTTGGACATCCAAAGGGATAACACACCAGAGGGGACACCCCGCCAGGCCTCCCCTCATCACGGGGGGGAAACAGGCACTTTGGAAACCTGCTGCCCCCTCCCCGTGGTGCCATACCCCAGATAAACCCCCCCAGGCACCCTGCTGCCCGTTCTGCTTCCCGTAACACCGCTGCAGCCCCATCCCCTGTGTAGGACATGCATATGGCCCGGCATATGGGGCGTTAGCGCGGCAGCTGGCGATGGCAAGCAAGAAGCTGCGATGTGACCCAGCCATCCCCTGCCTCCCACGTCCCTTCCCCACGTCCCTCCCTGTACCTGGGGGCTGCAGACAGCCTCTGCCCCTTTTTCCCTGGCCTGAAATGACAAACGTTTTTGTTTGCCCTGCTTTCCTTTACCCCTTCCCCTCCTCCCCTTGCCATTAAGCACGGTGCGCACTGGTGCAAGGACCCGGTGCCAGGCGGGCTGGCAGTGCGACCTTGGGTACCCATGTGCCGAGAGGGAACCACGCAGGAGTCTGTGCCTCAGTTTCCCAAAACAGGGAGCAGTAATGTGCTCTTCTGTTTGAGACAGCTGAAAAGCAGCTGAACACACACTGTGTGTATGTAGCTCTGCTTTGTACTTACGCCTGTACTCGGGTTGTTGAGGCTATCTTAAATTGGATGCGTACATCGCACAGCTGGGCTGCTCCCAGAGCCCAGGTGCTGGGGCATGGGGCTGCCTGCAAGGGCTGAGCCTTAAATATTCCACAAAAAGATGCACAATTCCAGAAAATAGAACTTGGTCCTGCTGGGAAATCATTGCCCCGTTATCTGTAGTAGCTGAGTGAACAGCTAAACCTGCCCACCAGCACAAGGCAGGCAGAGGTTTACAGATTTAACAGAGCTGCCCATGAGCTGCCAGCGAGGGTCTGGCCCTAAATCCCCAGCCCTGCCTGGTCCCAGCAAGCCAGAGCCTTGCAAAATTGGCTGCCTGAATTTGAGATGACCCCTGAGGACGGAGGCACCTCACAAACTATTAGGAAGCCCCGTCAGACTTCTGACATCTCAGTCAGTGCCTTCACTGCAGGAGGAAATAAATAAAATAAAACTTCCAGTTATAGATGGACTGGTAGCATGTATTAGGCTTCTTCCTTGGCATTTTTTTTTCCCTCACTGCTAAGGAAACTAGCTTTATGCAACTGCAAAAGATTAACATTTGTCCCCACTACTAACCTGAGCTTGTCGGCCCATTGCAGCGTGATACAAGTCATGTATCAGCTTTATACAAGCTCACCCTCGGGCTGCAGCTTTGTAAGGAGCCCTGTTTCTTCCCATGGTCTGCCAAAATTTATTTTTGCTGAGCTATTCCCATTTCTCTGCTGCCACTGGTACAGAAATGCTGGGATTACTCAGAGTAACGCTGGCCGAGGACAGCCTTTAACAGCTTTGCTCTCCAGCTGCATCCAGGTTTCCTTCTTCCATTTCCCCCATTTTGAACCAGGCCAAAACCCTCATTTTGCACCTTTCTGTGAGATTTAACTACATAAATCCTGCTGGCACTGAGGGAAGATAAAGCATGAAACTTCCTGGGAATGGGGGTGCAAAGACCCCTCACCTTAACCCAGGACCAGCCCTCCCCAAATCAGGACCCACACGAGGTTACCACAAGTGGTGGGTGGGATGTCCCCACCAGCACAGGCCTCGTTGTCCTAATTATTAATTTGTGGTTAATTGGGGTGTGGAAAACCCGTGGTGTAGCTGAGCTGCGTGCTTCCCCTGCCCGGCCAGCAGACGTGGTGGGGTGTGAGGGTAGGCGATGGGGACCGTGCCTGTCCCCACACAACCCCAACCCCAGGTTTGTGGGATATTTGTGGGATATTCCCAGCACTGCCGGTGACAGAGCTGTCCCCGGGCCACCACATGAGGGCAGTGCGGCTTTGAGCCTGTCAGGGAGCAGGCAGAAAGCAGAAAACCCCAAAAGCAGGGCACCCCCAAATTGTTCACCTGTTTTTTCCCCCGCAGTCAGGCTCCGTGTAGGGGCAGCGCATCCCTGCCCTGCCACCACTTCAGCCCCACCTCCCGGCCCCACAGCAGGGTTAGTGAAGGACACACGAGCCACTCGCCGCTTCAGGTAACAGTTTTATTTTCTCCAGGGGTGTAAGATGTGCAACAGGAACGTTTACAGGACTGCCGCTTTGTTAGCCAAGGGGAGTCGCAACCAAACAAGAGACCGAAACCGAGAAGTCTAACAGCATCATCCTGCCCTACAGCCATTAGTGCAAGTCATGTAAAAACATCGGATCAACACAGGAAAACAATGAAAAAAAAAAAAAAAGGCATTTCCAAGCCACAGGTACTTTCTTGAGCAGCTCCCGGAGGTCTGGTGGGGCAGGAGAGCAGCGCAGGGCAGAGGCAGCGGGACCTGGAGGTGGTGTCTGCTGCAAGCAGGGCTCTCCTCTTCTTCCTTGGTTTTGTCACTTGGGAAGAAAGTCACACGTGGGCTAAGGACGTGCAGGCTGGCAGAGTGCTGAAGGGTGATGGCAGCCTCTAAAAACCCAACCACGTGTGTGGCCTGCTGCAAAATGCAGCACTTTCCTAAAGCAAAAAGGTCTCGTCGTGTTTACTCGCTCCTTTTTCTTCAAGCTTTCCTCTGCAGCCACACAGACCAAACCTTGCAGCTTTTCTAAGCATAGCATCTCCAGAAATTGCCTGCCCCTGCGACTGTACAGCACTAATCCCCTCCCAAAATGGTGTGAAAAAGCCAGGGATTGGGAGCAGGGCAGCAGCCCCACCAGCGTCAGTGGGACGATTCGCTTTGTTTTCAGGGGCTTCTGCAGGGAACTGGGCGGCTGCAGAACAGAAAGCCTCTCACTTCCCAAAGTGCAGGCTAATTCTTTCCCTTTTTTTACATTTTTTAATTTTTATTATTATTATTTTTTAAATTTCTCCTGCACAACCAGAGGAAGAGGCTTTTGCATCACCCTCCCCATGGTTTCAAGGCCGGGGCAGGCAGCTGCCCATCCTGCCCGATGCTCCTTTCGCAGCAGCACCTGGCACCAGCTCGCCCTGCGAGCAGCCTTTCCCCAGCACCGTTCCCCCCACCGGGGTCTGGATGCTCCAGCAGATAACAGCAGCTGTTCGGGAGCAAGAGTGTAGCCATATGTTGCTGCTAACAAGCATTTACCAAAGCTGGTTTTCTTTCCGTGATTCCCATGTGCCTGATTAGCACACAGCTCCTCCGAGCAATTTTCAGATTTTCACCCTCCCTGCAAATCTTTTTTTTTTTTTTTTTTTTTTTTTTGACATTATATAAAATTGGGTTAAAAGCCACAAGGTTTGTAAAAAAATTAAAAACATATCGAAATAGCTAAAATGTAATTTAGTTGGTTTTTCTTTTATTTTTTTTTTCTTTTTCTTTTCCTTTTTCCTTTTTTTTTTTTTTTTCTTTTTCTTTTTTCTTTTTTTTTTCCTTTTTGCGCAGAAACACATTGCTGGTGGGGAACACAGGAGCAGGGGTGAGATGCCCACAGCTGCCTGCCCACTCCGGGAGGTGGGATGGCATTTCCATCTTCTCACACCAGTTTTGGACTGTGCCCATGGGTCCAGACCCTGCCCCAGCACCCGGTGATGGCTGAGCAGAAGGGAGGGAGCTGCGGTGCTGGGAACATCGCTCCCCACGGCGAAGGCACCAGCGCATTGACAGGATGCTCAGCACCTTGTAGAGCTGCCCCACTGAAGGCTGCAGGGCCAGATTTTGGGGAGCAGAGCCCTCTTAGAGCCCTCTTACAACCCTAACATCAAGAATATCAATAGAGGGGGGGAGGAGAAGAGCTTCACCGTATCTCACTGTAGCTACAGGAATAGAGAGCAGTTTGTCCAAGCGAGTTTTCCAGTCCACATGGGTCGATAGTGGATAGAAAGGTGCCACAAAAAGAGATTGATCCCAGCCCTGGGAGGTCCCAGGAGGGTGGGTGATTCACCCTTCAGCAGCGCCTGCCTCCCTCCAGAGCAGGGGCGATGGGTGGAAAGCACTTTGCGTCTTCTGACACCCAAAGCCGAGGTGTCAGCATCTCGGTGTGCACGGAGGGGGCTGTTCCTGACCTTGGTAACAGCTGAACGACGTGGGATGGGTCCCACCGCTCATACCTGGCACCCATTCTCCAGGCTTTTGCACCTCTTTCAAAAAGTAGCATTAACATAACAAGGGAATTCTGCATCTCCCTGGCTGCAGCGTGAATTACAGGCATCTGAACAGCATCAGCTGGTGGTTCCTGCCACAGCCGGACCACGGGAGCCGGGGGGAGAAGGTGACCAAGAAGCCACCGCAGGGCGAGCTGGAGATCCCCATGTCTTCCCAGCCCGAAGCTGGGTGCTCAGCACGCCCGCGAGGCTTCCTCCACGCCAGGGTGGGCTCCCACGAGATTACCTGTGGCCTGGAGTCACCACACACCACCGAAATTTTGTTTGCTGAAGTTTTCCCTCCCCGCCCCAAAATGCGCTCGCTGCCTGCACCCGGCTCCGTGCCACCCACACCAGCGCAACGGGGGAGAATCAGCCTTAACCGGGACACGGCCATCGGCATTGCCACCCAGCCACAGCCTCGTAATTACTCTGGATTTCCAAAATTTGTAGGTCTGGCGAGCACACATGGAGCCAGGGCTGTCCTGGGGGGCAGCTCAGCTTTCTCAGCTTGGACACAGGCAAGAGAACCAAGTCCCGCTAATAATTTAAGAGCATCAATTAATACAGTTTAATAAATACGTAAAAGGATCTAGTTTTTCTTCTCTTTCCATTCATTTTCTAGCTTCAATGAAAGTTAAGGGTGATTGTCCCGTGAGTAACTAAGGCAAATTTGTTTGTGTGTGTGTTTCTCCCTCCTTTTTTTTTTGTTTTGTTTTTGTGTTTTTTTTTCCCCATTGTTTTGTACGTAAAGCAATCACATAAAAATAGTTATAAATAGAAAAATTGCAAATGTTTTCCCCCATAGACAAATAGAAAAAAAAAAAAAGAAACAACAAACAAGTCGAGACAAAAAAAAAAAAAAAAAAAAAACACCTTGCTTCAAGTTCTTGTAGGTTATACAGTACTTAGCTTCTTTGGATGCTTTACAATGACTCCAGATCGTAGACAAAAAACACCTGAAGTAACCAGTCATCTGCAAAACGTCGCTTGTGTAAGAAGTTGATGCGGACTTAAAAAAAAAAAAAAAAAAAAGAGAGAGTTTGATGCAGTTTTAGAAGTTCTCTTTTTTTTTTTTTTTCTTCTATTTTTTCTCCACCAATTTGTTACACACAGTCCCTGCAGATTCCTTCCCGGGAGCAAGCAGCGGGCAGTTTGTGGCAGCGTTCGGCCACGCGTGGTCACAGCACGAGCATCCCTGGTGGGGGCACGGGAGGGGATGTGTCAGGCTCCCGTGGGACGACCACCGTCCGGTCCCCACTTCAGAGCAGCAGCGTTGGCAGGCAAGCCAAGAACCTACAGAAAACGGACCTGCAGTCCTCTCGTTCCCTTTCATCCTGCTGACGTTGAAAGGGAAATGGTAAATATCTTGAAAGGTAAAGAAATAAAGAAAAAGACGTAATTTGTAACATTTACATTTTCGAGCACTGATTTCGTGTATGATCACCCTACCAGGCGCCCGCAGGAAGCCATCCTCTCATCAGGCGGTGATACGGGGGTCCCACCACGTCCGAGAGGCAGACCGCCACCAAAAGCCTACATTCTCAGAGGCATCTCACATTTTTAGGAGCTGCCAGGCCAAAGGAGGCTCACGGGGCGATTCCAGCCCACTGCCACTTTTTGGCCTCGAAGGAGAGAGGGAAGAAATATCAGGTGGGGGTGGCTGGAGCAGGGTCTGCAAGGAGCCAGGGGGGGACCCCAGACCCAGCAGCCACCGCGGGCCTCCTCGAGCTCAGAGCAGCCCGTCGGACGCTATCCCCTTGTCTTTTGAAGCAACAAATGGAGAAGAAATGTGATTTCTACTTGCTTGCAAGTAGACAACCTTGCCTGCGAGAAATCTTTAGTGGCCTCCTTTTCCCCTAAAGATCCCCTCAGACCAGCAGCAGGAAAATTTGCGCACCGAATTTTTTTTCTGATCAGCGTTGCAGATTCAGGGACACCCAAGTGTTTTGTAAAATTTTTGTCATCAAAATATATATAGGAATTAGGGGCGGAGGGGGGAGGGATTAAGGACGAAAATCCAGACACGGTCAGTGGCGGCAAATTCTCACTGAGCTCTCCTGACTCTTTGGTTTGAAACGACTTTCTCATTTCAACATTCCCTCATGGTTTCTTTTCCCAAAGCAAGGGTTTAAAAAAAAAAAAGCTCTGGATCAAAACATTTCTGATCCTTCCAAAAAACTTTCTTCACCTTTTTAAGCAACTGAAGGTAAAATGCTCAAAACAGGGTTTGATTCTCTGTCTGAAGTTTAGAAATGGCCAAAGAACCAAAGTAACAAAATTCCCCTTTTCCACACAGGTTTTGTCTGGAGTGATCTCCAAACAGTTTTTGTTTTTTTTTATTGACTGTTCAGGGTCCCAATGCGTACCGCACAGCCCCATAAAGTCGATCCCCTTTATCTCTCCAGGCTGCGGCAGTGCGGAGCTGCCCCGCTCACCCCGCTCTTCCACCAAGACCCCTCTTGGAATAAAGTGTTGTTTCCAGACACGGGAGTTTAACTGAAAATAAAAAAAAAAAACAAAAAGCAATGACCTCCAAAAGTCCTTTTCGGCCAAAAGGGCCGAGGAATGTAACATATCAAAACCAAGTCTGGACGGCTTGTGGGCGTCCAGTGCCCTCCGTGGGTCCCCCAGCAGTGGTCCCAGGGGGGGTGGCCATGCCCCGGACTAAGGCAAGTGACATTTTCGGGAGCGTTGAGGAGAGCAGCAGCCCTGGCATGGCCTTCCTGGATGGGGCCACCGAATCTAAAGCGCTGGTGGCCACGGGTGGCATCTGGCCGTGTCTGGCATGGGGTCAGTTCTCTTGGTGGGCCTGCGGGGGGGGCGAGGAAGGCAGCGGCCCCCCGTCGGGGCTAATTGCTGCCCTCCGAGATGGGAGCCACGTGGCCGAGCCCCGCCAGGCCGCTGAAGCCCGTGCTCCAGGGGTCGGGCAGCGGGAAGAAAGGCTGTGCCGCCAGGTTCTCGTTGTGGCCGAGGGTGAAGGCGAAAATGCCCGCGTTCCTCTCCATGTCCAGCTGGGCTCGCCGCAGCAGCTTCATCTGGGTGTCCTCGAACTGGCTCTCCAGCTCCTGCAGGCTGAACGCCGCCTTGGCCCCGCTCATAAAGTGCTGGGGGCTGGGCCCGGGAAGGCACATGGCGGCGGCGGTGCTGCCGAGATGGCCGCTCATCTCCTCCAGCGCCGGGGGCACCACGAAGGCCTTGTCCACCGGCGGGCCGCCGGGGGCGAAGAGCAGGCTGGCTGCTCGCCACGCCGCCGGCTTGCGGCCTCGCCGCGGCCGTGCCAGGCGGCAGCTCTGCCGCTTGATGTGGCGGTGGAGGTGGTCGGAGCGGGTGAAGCTCTTGTAGCAGAACTCGCACTGGTAGGGCCGCACGCCCGTGTGGATGCGCATGTGGTTCTTCAGGTCGTAGTTGTGCACGAACTTGGCGTTGCAGTGGATGCAGAGGTACGGCCGCTCCCCCGTGTGCTTGCGCATGTGGATTTTCAGCTTGTCCTGCCTGCGAAAAGGAAATCGGAACGGGGGTCAGGAGGTGTGGGGTTGGGGGCATGGGTGCCATCACCCATGGGGATGGCACCCAGATACCACCCCAGCAGCCTGCAGCCCACCCCAACCAGCCCCAGACAGCTTGGGTTGGAACAAAAAATGACCCTAAAACAAAGCTTCATCACTCATAGAAAAAAAAATAAATAAAGTTTAGACTACAGAGCACATCTAGACACATCTGGGAACATCTAAAGAAGTACAGCTATGTCCCTGCCTGCGACCAAGGGCGTTAGTTGAGCATAAAGAGCCTGGTAAATTAGGGATGGACGTGGTTTCAGCGGAGCCCCCTCGGTTTCTGGTTCCCTTCCCTTCCCTCCCCTACCCGTGCTGGCCGCTGGGTGTCTCAGCAGCCCGGCCTTGGAGCTGCAGGCACCGCAGGGTGCAGGGCTGAGGCTGGCTCTGCACCCACAGCAGGGCAGGATGCCACCCCTCTGCCTCCTCCAGCTGCACACCCCTGGGAGAAGGTTCAGACACAGCCCTGGCATGGCACAGAACCCATCCCCATGGCATTTATTTACAAAGACACAGTGTTTTATTTATTATTTTTTTTTTCAGTTGGAAAGAAATATCTAAGATCTACAAGTTTATTCTCCCAATCTGTTTTTATTATTATTATTATTTTTTTTTTCCAATATTTCCTTCTGCAGTCTACAAAATTCACAGCTAAGGCATGGATATAAAATGCAAAGCTGGCTGTAAGTGAACTGAGCAAAGCCTGCATGAGTGGTGTTCAAGGCGGAAGCTAAGTAAACAAGAAAAGTGGGAGAATTCATAATGTTTTGGGAAATAGTTTCAGTCTGATCCCTCCGAGACATTAAGAAAATGGGAAGAATAGATGGAGTCATTAATATATACAACATATATGAACATTAAAAAAAAAAAAAAGCAAGCAAAACTATACTTATGCTGGCAGATCAGACACTCCAGATTTGTAAGCTGCTGCCTACACACTAATTTCTGCCACCCTGACTGCATGAAACAGTTTCCAGCACCACCACCAAGCCCTGTTACTTCACATGAGCCCTGACATTTTTGTTTTATCTGCACTGACCAGTGCCTGCCCCTGTGCTCGTTTGCTGCCTGTTAATCCAGCTGTGCTTGGGGCACGTGGCCAGTGGCTCTGGGGATGTGCAGCTCTTTGGGGTCAAGCTGGGTGCTCCCTGGTGCTCCCAGGGCCATGCAGGAACCCTGTGGCTCAGCCCTGGCTGTATTCAGTGGCCTGAGCCCCAAAACCTCCTTGCCTCGCTTGCTGGTGGGGATGGATGAAGGAGGGCAGGGAAAGCACGAGCACATCCCATAGTCTTGTGCACAACGCCAGGCAGGGCTCCCGCGGGTCCTGCAGGCACAAAAACTGCTGCCAGCGGGGGTCTGAAAGCCTCAGGCCAGAAATACAGGGCTCCAGAAAGGAGGCAGGGAAGTGTCCCTAGCAGGAGAGCCACTTTGTCAGCAGGTGACCTTTTACTGCCTCCGGGAAATCGCAGCCCAGCCCTGTGCCGGCAGGCCGGTGCAGCTGCAGGCAGGCGGCGGAGATGCTCGCTGCCTGTAAGGAGCTTGCACTGGCTTTGGTTTTCCAAGGTTTACAGCTTGTGCAGTACTTTAGGGAGGCAGAGCAAAGCACCTCCTGGGACCCACGCCAAGCCCGGGGCCAGATCCCAAGAGCTAAGCCTGAAATTTTCAAAGACACCGTTATTCCAAGATATTAGCGAGGGCGCATTTCCCCTTGGCCTCGGCCTTCGAAAGTGCTGAAATCAGTTCTCAGAAACAGACAAAGCAGCATGGAAAATTTCAGCCGGAACGGATAATGTTCAGAGGAGCTGTAAGCAGATGAACACGGGGTCTCGTAATGTGAAGTGTTGGGAAATGTTAATAAAAAGCAGAGCCACCCGCCCCACCTATAATATAATTTAAACCTATATATGTAATGTTTAACCTAGCAGGATCGCTTTTCCTAATAAACACGCAGTGTGCCAGGACTGCATAATGTAAACACAGGCAAAGCTTTTTCAGGCTATTACCAATCTCTGTCAGCAGACGGGGAGAAACTGGATCCCGCGGCGCACACCTCTGCCCTGCCGCAGCCCCGCCGCCAGCTGCCAGCAGCCCAGGGGCTGGCAGCGAGCTCGCATTGCCTCTGCCCATTTCTCCCCAAATATTAACCTTCGGGCGAGCTGGGCACGTCGGGAGAAGCTGACAGGTAAGGGGTGACCCTGGCTGCTGCTCTCGCGCGTGGGTCATGGGTTTTGGGCAGGCACGGGCTGCGCCGGGAGGAGCTGCAAGCGATGAGCAGGGGAGAAAGGCGCTGCTGTGTGTGTGTGAATGCCCTTAATGCAATTGTGTTAGGAGAGCGATTAGGGCTCTGCGAGCTGTCACAACACAAATAATATGAACAAATATTGTTAACCTTTCCGGCTGGAATAGTTTCTCCGTGAGCACTCTGGGGCTGTCTTGGTGGAAAAGCTGAAATATTTGCAGTTTTCTCTGGCGCTTCAGCAGCGCGCCACAGCAGATTACAACCTGAGCAGCCTTTGTTTAAGCAAAAAATTAATGAGCTATTAAATGAAGTCCTGCTTCCTGCGGGCAGCTGTCCCTGAGAGTCAGGAGTGGCAGATGCAGGTCCTTGCCATGGGATGCGGGAACCCATGGAAGTGGCGGAGAACACATCTGATGGGGAATTTTGGGGACCCCCACCCAGGGGACTGCATTTTCTCCATCTATCCCAGTGAATTTGCTCCTGCACATCTCCTCGGGCACAGAAATAACGCACAGAAGTGATTAATCCAGAAATCCCATTTCTGGAGCACAGAAAGCCTGCGCTGCCCTGCACACAGCCCCCCGGGATGCCAGGAGGGACAGTTCGGGTTCACATCTCCCCAGCTGAGGCTGCCTCGTGGGGCCGATGCTGCAGGAAGCCTGCGATCCCCTGTGGGAGCTCAGCACACAGCACAAGCAGCGGCGTGCAGGAAATCCTGGCAGAAATCTCTTGCTACATCTCAATCACTCCACTTCACTCAAATACATGTCACCCTAAAGGAGAGGTCTCGCACTCCAGTAATGCTGGAAACAGCTAAAAACAAAGTAAGTAAAAGCAAAAACGGCAGCGTGCTATTCAAAGTGCTTCCAAATGCTTTTAGGAATAAACCAGTGTTTTGGAACGTCCACTTTGCTTGGTGCATTAAAGGAGGAAAAAACCCTCCAGCCCTCCACTGCGTGTGAATGGCTTCATTCTCCTGAGTGATGATGGGGCGTGAGGGATGGCACTGCTGTGCTTTCCTGATTTTGGGGGGATTTATTTTCTCCAAAACCCTTATGCTGCGTGTTCAGAAGCTACTGAGTACATGGGGGGACGTAAAGAAGCTCTTGTGTTTATGCTCACATTAGTAATGGTCCACACTAGACCAAAAAAGAGATACATTTCCCAATGAGGGATGAGGTTTCCTTGCCTGTTCTGCCCAGATCAGGATCTGTGGCATGGAAAACAGCTGTAGCCATGGAGCTGGCCACCAGCCCTCTCAAAGCACCGCACTGATTTTGTGTGGGGCGGGGAATAAAACATCCCAAGGGCTGGAGGCACACAGCTCCGGGGAGCTGATGTCCAAAACTGAAAGGAGAGCTGCTTTCACAGCACTCCTCCGGTCCTCCTCCTTCCAAAAACAACGCCCGAAGCCCCGCAAGGAGGAGCAGCTCCTCCCGTTGGAAAGGAAAGGCTCGCTGCAGGGCCAGGCTTCGTCAGCCGTCAGCCGCGGGCTCTGCGGACACGGTGCATGCCCCGGGGCCAGGACTGGCTCCAGGAGGTTTCTCCTGACCCACTGAGGGTAAGAGGCCAAGGTTTTAACCTCCAAGGTGCTGATTCAGCCTCCCTGTCAAAGCCTGGGCCAGGGGTCAGGATAGCTCAGCTCTCACCCCAGCCCTCCTACTTATTTTCGCAGTGGCTGTGAGTCAGTCAAACACACCCCATGCCTCGGTTTCCCCAAACAAGCTGCCCTTGTTTGTGCAGGATTTGGGGAGCTGCAGAACAAATCCCTCTGGAAGGCTCCACTCTTTTATTCCCTTGGTGGTAAAGGTGTCAGTGATGGGTCAAGGTGAGACTTTTCCTTTTTGGCTATTAGCTCCCTCAGCATCACACCCAGCATGACCCCATGCATCTGGAGGTGACAGCCACGGGGACAGCACCCACAGGAGATGCAGCCCATCACCTGCAGGCAGGAATTAGCAGCAGGCACAGCTTTTTCCCTGCAGCACCGGGGCGAGCCCACAGGCACTGCGAATGCCCACCCCAGGCACGATGCTCCGCGCATGGTAATCCAGGGGCCGCTGCGCTAATGGAGCAGAGCATGGAAATTTATTTTCAGGTCAAATCCTCATCATCTGCATAAATTCCGCTAAAATGTTATCACAGGGACAGGAGAAGAAAAGACAGGCTGAATACAGGAGCACCCCAGGTGTCCGGCCATTGTCAGGAGCTCGGCTTTGCCTACTGTGCATATTATTTTCCTCCGGTTTGCTCGCCCCAGCCTAATAGGGCTCTCTCCCTCACACACAGCCAGGAGCTGAAATACCATGCTCTTGTCAAAAAGCTTTATTATTATGGTAAAGATTGTACTCATTAGATATTAATTATACCCAGCAAGAGCAGATCCAGGAATCTATTTGTCTCTGCTCACCGGTTAAATTTGCCCGGAGAAGGCTCGCAGGCTGCAGCATTGGGTTTGCACAGCCCTCCCTCAGCCTGATGCATTTTTTTTTTTTATTTTTACCACCAAGGGCTCTGCCGGGGTGTGTGGAGGTGCAGGGGCTGGGTCTGGCCGCTCACACCCACCTGGCAGCAGCCAGATTGGGGCTGGTATCACCCAAGGCAATCTAGGTGATGCAGGTTGTCGTTGCCACTGGGATGGGGACACCTCCCCTGTCCCCATTTCTGCGTGGCCAAGCCGAGGGTGCCCATGTCCCTCCTCTGGCCGTGGAGGGGTGGAGGTGCAGGGATCCCAGGTGAATGGTGTTCGGGGTGATGAACCCACCCTGGCAGACCGAAATCTAGCGATTAGGACAGCTCCGGCCTCCGAAAATGCAGGCAGTGTCATGTTTAAACATGTGCAACTGGGCTGTGGTCTACACTGGTGCCAAAACGATGTGCAAAACCGAAATAATTACATCCCTCAACTAAATTGCCCTCCCAACTCAGCGCATCCCCCGGCGCATTAGGGACGGAGCTTCCTTGGCTGTCTGACCAAACGCAGCCATCTGTTTCCCAGCTCCCTCCCATCCCACTGTGGCAGACGACGGCGGGGATGGAAATGCCCCATTACTTACTCACAATTTTGTCCGGAGAGCGGCTGCGATCCCACCAAAAACCAGTGGGATCCTTTTCTTTCCTCCCCTCTTCTCCCCCTCCCCACTCTCTTTCTCAAAGGGCCCGTCCCTTTCTTTGCTACGTTTTTGGGGACAAAAGGGATAAATAGCTCGGGAACCAGCCACCACCCCCCATCCCGTGGCCGCAGAGGGAGGGGATGCACACCTGGTAAAGCGGACTTCACAGATAGTGCACATGTACGGCTTCTCCCCCGTGTGGGTCCTCATGTGCCGGGGCAGCTTCCCGGCCCCCATGATGACCTTGTTGCAGATGGGACACTGCTGGGACGCCTTGGGCTTTATCTTCCTCTCTTCCTCCAGGGGCCAGGGAGGAAAAACTCCTCCGAACTGGGTAGCGCTGAGGAAATTGAGATAAGCGCCGTAGTCGGTCTCTGCCTTAATGTGCCCCAGGGGAGCGGCTGGGGTGTTGGTAAACATGTCCTTGAAGAAGTCATTAGGGAAAGGAGGCGGAGGCAGGTCTTCCTTCTCCTCCTCTTCCTTGATCTTCCTCTTTTTGATCACCAGGTCCAAGGGGCCGTTGTCTACTTGTGGCTCCTCCAGCTGGGGAAAGGAGCTGAAGTTGCCGTTCCACAGATGGGGGAAGAAGCTGGGGGTGAAAGGAGAGAGAGCTGGCCTCCTTTCCGGGACGGTCGCCTTCGGGTACAAGTTCTCCCTCAGCAAGGACTCGATGGAGAAGTCTCGTATCACACCCAAGTGTCCGGAGGAGTTATTGGCTGGGTAGTGATTTGGAAAGTCTTTAGGTGCTTCCGTGTATGCTTCTTCGGTAAGATCAGACTTAGAAGGGCTTTGGTGACAGCTGACTTCTTGGACATCGGTTAGGTTCTCCTGGTTGACAAAATCTTCCACTTCTTCCTCCTCCTCCTCCTCCTCATCATCATCATCTTCGTCGTCATCCTCGTCGTCGTCGTCATCCTCTTTGTCGTCGTCCTCTTCCACCTCTCTGTCGGGCTCCATGATTTCAAGGCATACGTTGATGATGCACTGGATCTCCAGCATCTTGGCGGCGCTGAGGATGTGCTTGACGTTCGAGGTGGTGATGGTGAGGGTCGAGGTGTAGGCGAACTCCAGGATGGCAGAAAGTGCTTCAGGCTTGACAAAGTCAATCTCGTAAACATAGGGCTGGTCTGTTAAAGTGCCGGTAGTGAAGAGTTTTTTGAAGTACTTGCTGCAGGCAGCAAGGACGGACCGATGGGTCCGGTACTCCTGGTCCTGCACGATGAGGATGACATCGCAGAGCAGCCCGTCGTGCCGCTGCTCGTTTAAGCCACACAGGACTTCGCTGCTGTGGTTTGGGAATGGGATCCCGATAAGATCTTCAATGCCATTGGCCATATTCTCATCTAGTGCCCTAGGACAAAACACAGACAGCGGGGCATCAGCACGGGGGTCTCAAGCAACAGCACCAAAACAGCCCTGCCTTCACTCTGTCCTCTCCACTGCCCCACGTGCACCTCCAAAATCACCTGCTGCTGTTGTATCACCTTTAAAAACTCTTCCCATAACCTCTGCATCCCTCTGTCTCCTTCCTTCCCTTCTCGGTTCCCACCCCCTCCACCTCTCCATAACCACCACACGCTCCTCTGCTCTTTCCCATCCCTCCCCTGGCATCCTTGTGCAACGCTTCCCTCCCCATCGCGTTTCTTCCACGCCCTCCCGGAGCCAACATCTTTCCAGGCACATGCAGGATTTGCCCCGTCAGGAGCTATGTGGGGAAAAGGGTGATGCTGCATTGCCTCACCCTGCTGGGCACCGGCACCCACGCCAAACAGGGAGACACGGGGCTGTTTCACAACGTGCCGAAATGCTCCGAGAACAACGACCAGCCACAGAGCAAGGGCTGGGGGCAGACGACTGCAGGATAACTTCACCCGTGAGCTGAGCTTGCCCGGGCCCCAGGTCTGCCCGGAGCTGTCAGCGCGCTATCGGGTGCCCCGTGCATCTGGCGGACACCTTCCCCTGCCAGAGCAGCTCCAGCTTCAAAGGGGAGATCGGAAGCAAGAAGCCCACGCCCAGAAGGGAAACATGATTTTTGCCTTTTTTTTTTTTTTTTAATCTGCGAGATGTTTCCTCTTTCACATGGCTCCAGCAGCCCCTGCACATGAGAAATCCCAGGGAAGGAGCGCGGCTTCCTCCAGCAGGCTCTGAACACGTTGCTGCTGGCACACACTGAATATACCCAGCGGCCAGGACAACTCCGAAGGCAAAAAATTTTTGGAAGCCCCCAGGACACAGGGAGCATCCCCTCTGTGAGCTCTGCTCCTACCCCTTCCATAAGCCTGGGACCGACGGGCTCTCCATCCCGCCCCGTGCCACATCAGCATCTCTCCATCAGCACCCAAAGATCCAGGAGCCTCAGAGGGAATTTTTTGTGCCACTGAGAGCACGTCCTGGTGCCTCCCTGCCCCACCAGCCAGCCCAGCAGGGCCAGGACCCATTCCCATCACAGGAGCCTCAGGGGCTGTGCCTGGGGCTGGCATTTTTGGCTGAGGACCGCAGATCCATCCCTGCGTCCCTCAGCGTGAGCATTAGCTCCGTGCTAATTACGGCTGTTGTCTGAAACAAATTGATTCATTGCAGTGTGCTGTGCTTAACCATGTTAACCAGCTACGCTCCCCTCACAGCCCGACCCCAGCCGTACAAAATCCTCTTACAAAGCTGCCGATAAATGAAAGCAAGTCTGATGCGTCCTTCAAGGTGAGCGTGGGGTAAGAAATGCACCTGAGCCGGGGAGGAGGAGACACCTCCCTTTTCAGGGCCTTCTATCCTAAAAATAAGCGTGAGAAATTACACTTCTGTCCCTGTATTTGCCTTTTTCATTTTTTTTTTTTGGAAGGAGAATTAGCATTGAAGGGGTGTTAGGCGGAGGAATGCAGCCTCGTGTGAATCTGTTTTGATCTTTCGTCGCCAGATCACAACGTTAAGTGCAAAAGATCAGAAAAATGGGACATCAGACTGCCCTGCTGATTGTTTTCGGAGCTTTCCTCGCTCCTGGACACTCAGCTCTGTCCTCCCTGATTGTGCAGCATTCTCTCAGCACCAAGAGAGCAAGAAAAATGGAATTAAGGATGTGGGAGAAGATGATTGCAACCCCTCCAGTTTAGCAGGAATGGAAAGGGACAGCTGCTGTGCCTAAAGCGATGCCCAGCTCCCCCCCGGTGGAAATAGACTCATTTCCCTTCATCCTCCCCTCCTGGTCCTCTGGAGGTGCGGTGCTGTGAGCCGGAGCCCTTAGGAAAGCTGATAACTTCACAGGATGCTGGCAGAGCTGGGGGTGATTCACCTCATGTCAGTGGCCGGGGGGCGGGTGGGAAGAGGAGCAGCCCAGCGACCCGTTTCCATGTGCTTGCAAAAAAAAAAAAAAAGGCATTTTTTTACTCGTGGGGTGCTTGGACAGCTCGGGGCACCCAGCCCCCAAAAAATGACCCCAGAGAAATGACCTCAGGCCCCGGGAGGGGGCTGGATGTGCTCCCAGGCTGGCGCTGCCCTTCCTCCAGCTCCCTCCTCTGCCTCCTCCCTGCCTCCCCCTGCCCGAGCCAAGGGTGGGGTCCGCAGGAATAACAGGCACAGGAACAGCATCCGCAGGCCTGAGGACAAATGTCACCCCCAGGAACAAAAAAAAATCACACGGGCAAACGCTGAACCGCCTGCACGGAGTGACAGAGAAAATCCCGAGCTTTAATAGCAAATGACAGCATTGTGAAAATAAACTGGGGCGGGGGGAAAGGGTGGAGGGCACCTAAAATAACCACGTCCCGAGCAGGCTGCAGAGGATGCCTTGGAACAGTGCATTTTTGGGAATGGTTGAAACGCACTCACCACTTTCTCAAATGAAAAGCCCCATTTCTGAAAGCAGGACCCTGCGAGACGCCGTCCTGCACAGGCAGCAGGCAGCATGGGCAGTGACAGCGGGGTCTGTGCCTGAACACGGGCTGTACGACCCTTTTACAGGCTCAGCCACACTCCCACCAGCTTTGCCCATCCGTGCTTATTTTCCACACCAGCTCCTTCCCTCCTGTGCCTGGGGTGCTCAGCACCCCGAGGGACGGACGCTTTGGGTGCAGAGCAGCACCCAGAACCATGGCACCCACCTGCCCGCCGCATCCACCAGCCCCAAAATACACACGTGGGCTTTTTTCCTTCTTTCCCCCCGGGTTTATTTGTGCCTCATCGTAATGAGGCAATTAAGATGTGCATGCGAGATTACCCTAATCCGTCAAAATATAGCAGCTCCTTTCCGAGGGGTACGCTGACCTTCACCGCTCACGCTCCCTCCGCGTGCCCCAGCCCCGCGGCTGCTCTGTGGGTTCGGGGATGCTCCAACACCTGGGGCCAGGCCCTTTTTTTTCCCCTTTCCTCCTTTTCTGTGACTTTCCCACCTGCAGGGAAAGGGGGCACGAGGACGGGGGGCTCACAGCAGAGGCACAGGGAGCCGAGATGTTTTTGGGGTCCATAAATCCCATTCTGAAAGTGTGTTTTTTTTTCCCTTTTTATTAAAAAAAAAAAAGGGGAGACGTAAAACCCAAAAAGGCAAATATTTCCTTAAGCACACCTCCCCTCCGAACATCTTGTCTCCAGCAGAACGTGTTATTAAGCCACCCACCCTCGTACCCAGCCTTTCTCCCCGCGGGCGGTGAGGTGGGGCAGCGCGCCGCTCGCCTCCCCATCCCTCCCCAACCCTGCCGCTGAGCTGAGACAGTGAGGGGAACGTGGTGACACCAGCCCCGGCCTCCCTCGCAGGGAAATAATCAGATTTTTCAGGGCTAGGATGGACTGCGGGCCCCGCGATGCTGTGGGAGGGGAGCCGGCGTTTTACTGCCGGGCTGGGCGCCCTCCCCAGCTGCTAATAACTGGGAGCCGTCCTGCCTGGGGACAGCGGGAAAGGTGGGGGTGTTTGTTGTTTTCAGTGGTATGTCATAGGTTCCTCTGCCCTAAACTGACCTCTACCCACCCCCAAGAAAGAAAAAAAATAAAATAAATAAAAAAAAATAACACGGTGATTTTGCTTAGATCTGGACAGGATAAGCAAGGACAAAGGTTTCCAAGGTGATGCTTCGGTGAGGAAGGATGCAAAGAGGGTCAGGCTCGCAGCAAGGATGGGGAAGAAGCACCACGGGAGGCTGTGGAGGTGCAGGACAGCACCTTGAAGAGGATGCTCCACAGCCACTGGTGACCTCCACCCACGCTGGGAGGAGAGGGATGGGCAAGGAGCTCAGCCCAGGGTTTTGGTCAAGCTCCACAGCGCCAAGAGCCCTGGCAGTGGAGCAGGGTTTGATCATGTAATTGTCGTGGTTAGGCTTCGGGGACTGAGTGAGCGGCTGGCATTTAGCCTGGTAGGTCTCCACCGCCACCTGGATTCGCCAATATTAGCACAAATCGCTGCACAAAATCCTTGGGCACACAAGGGTTTGTCCTTATCAACATCTGCTGTCCCCCTGGCAAGCGGAGCCCATGAGAACCACAAACATTTCACACGCCGTACAGGACTGTTGTTTTGGGGCTGGCACTACTGGTTTCCCAAAACGCCACCAGAAGGACATTGTCATGTGAAGTCCCATCAAAAAATCCAAAATCAGAGGTGTTGGAGAACCTTCTCCAGCCCAACAATCCTGGCAATGCCACATTTCACCTCTTTCTCATTTTAATGACATTTAAATGACAGCCAATTTTCCCAGTTTTCCAAAATTCACACGGAAATTAGGATTTGGACTCCACGATCCCTTCAAACTCAGGATATGTGTTTTCTATGATTCTATGAAATGTTGCCCACCCACCAAGCAGATCAGAACTGGAGGTCAGCTGCATTTCTCCACACCACTTGGGAAGCACCACGAGGACTAATTTGCTTAAGGAGCAAAACGAGGCTGCAGACGCCACTCATCTGCTCGCCGAGGTGTGGAGGCACAAGCATCTGCTGTGCCCTTGCTGAATTCATCCTTGGGAACTCATCCTGCTAAGGGCTAGGGCACAAAGTGCAGCAAATACACATCTCAGACAGATCCATCCCTGCTGGTTAGCTGCAGCTACGGAGAGCCCAGCACCCCGTGCTTCAGCAGCTTTGCCGGTGTGCAGAAGGGACCTGGTGAAGCTGCAGGCTGTGAACCAAACCCTCTCCTCCTGAGGACGTGGCTGGGTGCTCGGGTGGTGGGAATTCACCGCCGTGCTGCTGCTGCCAGGACCCACCCTTAGCCCAGGGGGTGTTTAAGTTAGGGCTGTGCTCCCGCAGCGAGCTGGGAGATTTCTTGTTATTTGTGCTGGCACCGGCTCCCCTGCTGGCCCTCCAGCAGCACGATGGCTGCTGGGCTCGGCTCCTCTCCTCTCTCCCTTGCTGCTCCTCATCTCGGCAGGCTC